AGGGAAAGAAGTCCCTCCACCCATTATCCATCCAACTTTCAGAACTCTTTTTGTTACATCTGAAAGTCATAATCAATTTTCCAACAACATTTCATTCCAACTTGAGCCACTATAACAATTTTCATTGACTCATGGGATGTTTCCTTACCTCATCCTCAAAATAAGAAATATTCCAAGACAGTTCCATATTAGAGAGGTAACAGCTCTGGTTAGCAGAATTACCCATGGAGGATGGCCTGATTCCTCTCTCTTGTTGTACCTATAATTAATATGACGCTTTCATCATTAATAATGTAAATATCTAAACCAGAGCTTTCCTGAAAAAAAAAAAACTGAAAACTTAACATGTTGCCCAAATATTGTAGGAAGTCTGAAAATTATTAAAATTTGTGAGCAGGTTTTTTTAAACTAGGATCAGAAAAAGAAAAGTCAGTGTATCAAATGGGCAAAATTTCTTTGTGCCAAACCACCAGTAGACAGACTTCCACCAACTCTGGTGTCTGGATGAGTCATAGAAAAGGGGGCAAAATTTTGCTCCCTCTAACCACCCAGGATTTCTTCCTCAGCCCCACTCTGCCTCTTGCAGAATGTGAGTTTCCTTAAAGGTCATGGCAATGGAGAGAGAGAGGGGGCAAGAGAAAGAGAGAGAGAGAGGTACTTCACTTCATAACCCAGTAACCTAGGTGCTTTGTGCTCTGGCTGTGGGGCACTGCTCTCCAGGAGTGGTGACTGAACTGAGAACTCTGGTGGGCCATCCCCTAGGTCTCAGCCAGGGTGTCCTACTCCACCAACCAGGCCTTGACACTTGCCACACCCCGTCTCCCAGTGCTGCTGAAAACTGAGCTGAGTTCCTTTCTTTTACCCATGCAATACCTCTGCTCACAGAGATGCTCTTCACAGAATTTTGCTGATCTGGAGAAATAACTTCAAGAGAGGTATTTGGAGCCAAATGTTGTGACCTCATCTGGGCAGAAAAGCAAAGCACCCTGTGAGATGAGCTCTGGCTATGAGAAGGCTATTATAGACCCTGTTCTTTTATACTTTCCTAGAGAAACACCCTCTACTAAATCCAAGCCAGACTTTGGCAACAACCACTGCATTATAAACCGTTAAAATGTGTTTCTGCTTTTAAAAAATTCCCCCATCAAAATAATTCCCATGTAAATGATTTAAAACAACATCACATTTTAAAAGCCATTTAATATCAATAGCATACTTTAATGAAAAAAAAGCAGCATACTTTGCCAATAAAACATTAAAATCATCTCTTCAATGAAAGACAATCAAACAACACCAAAAATAACTTAATACATTACCATAGTAAATAAACCGTCTATTAACAAAAACAAGAAACCAGGTCATTTACAGAACTCAAGACTTCAGAGAGCCTTAAATGGAACAGCAATACAGCAAAATTTGTAAGAATATATCTATATGTGCATCATTTTGAATGAAGTATTTACAGTAGATAAGGTACCAGTCATCGTGTACCTAATTTTTGTTGTTGTTGTTTCAAAAGAATTCTACCAAACAATGTGAATTTACAAGCAGTGCACTGTCTTTCTTATAGTTCAAATTTGTCTTCCTACAAACAAACCTCCGAAAGGAAAAACGGAAGGATTCTTGTAACCGTTAAAATGTAGTCAACAGAGCAATTGAAAACTAGAAGACTGAAATACCTTGGTGAAATCCTAGAATCTGGAGGGGCAAACACCAAGTGACAAATGCACCTGAAGCTAGAAAATGATGCATCACAGTCATGCTTCCAACTGCTTGACTTCTTCTCTTCCATTAGAGTGTGTGTGTGTGTGTGTGTGTGTGTGTGTGTGTCTATGAGTGAGTGAGAGAGTGCCTGTGTAGCAGGGACAATGTGGGAATCCCCATTAAATATGTAACGAAGTAAACAATACTTTGGACAGTGAATCAGGTCTACACGATTAAGACATCCATTACTGAGTGTCGACTCACAAATCAGAACACTACCAGTAAAAACAAAGAAAAAGCAATCTTCATTCAAAGTGAGAATATACAAATGGGCCAAAAGGAACATAGTATAAGAGGAAAGCTGTAAAAATTCAGTCAACTCATCAAATAAGAAAAAAATTTTAACTTCACTAGTCATACGTTCTCCCGTTTTTTAAGAGTAAATAAGTTTAATTAATTAGAATGTGCACAAATTAAGTTGCTAGAGAGATAAATTAATAATTTACAGAAGGTTGTTCAGCAATAATCTAATAATAGCTTTCAAGATCAGTGAACACAGCAGGCGCAACTCCTTCCTTAAGCATTAACACTTCAGAGAAGGAAGAAGGGGTAAGAACCACAATAAAAATATATATATAATATACAGTGTAAATGCAGAAAATCTGCCATCTTTTTTTTAAAATTCAAAATACTTTAGAGATGTCTCTATCACGTTAAGCATCAACTCTAGCTTAAAGTTTCAGTCCTGAATCAATTTCTATTTCTGAAAAATAGCTGCAAAGTGTACTTTTAAACTTGAACAAGGGTGATGTCTTTAGGAATAAAAACAAATCTTACTTGATCATTCTGGGAGCCTTTTAAAAGGCTGTCTCATCTGCCTTCCTGCAAACAGCCAGCTCCAGACTTCCTCTGAAGAGGCCGAGGTGCCTTTTCCGGGTGGGGTGGGGTCGAAAGGGACAACTTTGCTACAACTTGACAAATCCCTTCTTTTGTTTTTCTTTCCCTTGAGAAATCGTTTCACATTCTCACCGGACTTGGGCTCAGTGACTTGCTCGTTCGCTCGCTCTCCAATCCTCGCTTTCTCTGGATTCACATTTAATGGAATTGTTTCTAGCCGCGAAAAGGGGGGGGGGGGGGCAGGAAAGGGGG